CGGCAGGGGCATCCAAAAAAAGCTGCAGGCAGCTCCGGCAGGGAGCGGGGTTCGGGTGCTGGGCTGCCAACGCAGGCAGTGGGGCTGAGGGATATCGGGATTTCGGGCAGGACTCGCAGCTCCTCTGCGTCCCAGCACTGAGGGAGCAGCTACGACCCCCGCAGGCCGCAGGAGAGACCCCTCCCCGGGACAGCCCAGCCCGGCTCACCCGTCCGTTTGCTGCAGAGCCGGTCCTTGACGTTGTCGGCCTCGTGGGAGAGGAATTCGATGAGTTCATCCTCGTACTCCTCGGCGATGCTCTCACACTGCAACAGGAGCCGCCCCCGGGTCAGCCGGTGACCGCGCAGGGCCAGGCGATGCCAGGAGCACCCGGGGAAACCCAGAGCCAGGCCCGGTGCGCCCCCAGCCCAGCCTGGGAGCAGCCTCCTCCCCTCCAGCCCCAGGAAGGACCAGGGAAGTGGCTGGGGCGCGCCCCCGGGGCTCGAAGGGCAGCAGCTGCCCAACACAGCGGGTCCTGCACCCAAAACCTCCACCCAGCCCCAACAGCCCCCACGAGGACCCAGTCCCTGCACGCACCGCAAACTTGAGGCTAGAAGCCACGTCTCCATCAATTTTGACCCCGGAGAGGTCCATCTTGGTCCCATCATGGGAGATCACTCGGACGTAGCTCTTACGGTGCGTGGAAGGATCCACTTTTTCCCCATATTCCTTCATCTTCTCGCACACCCGCTCCAGCAGCTCTGTCAGATGTGCCTCTGACCGGGCATAGGGCACCTGCGGCACGAGCGAGAGAGCAGCGGGGTCAGGCCACTGAGCGTGAAAGCGGAACGGGAATGCCGGGCTAGCGCCTTTCCCCAGGAGCCGGGGAGTGCCGAGAAAGGGTCAGATGTCTCCACGGATGCCCTGGGAAGGCAGTGGGGCTGTGCTGGCGATAGGCAGTGGAGGAAGCTGAGGAATGGGAGACGGGGCTCACTCAGCCCGGCTCTGCCGCAGCCTCCACCCCCCGGGAGACGTCTCACCTCCACGACCGACTGGCTGCCGTCAGGGTTGATCCGGAATGAGCCCATCTGGATGGTTTTCCTGGGGTCGACCTGGGCGATCTCCCACTCCAGCTCATCCACCAGCGCCCGGCACGCTGCAGGGGACACAGGCATCAATAGCTCGCAGTGAACAGCACTGCCTGAGCCACACCAGCTCCTGGCACTGACAGTGGGGAGCGGGTCCCCGGGGTGCCCTGTGGCCCTTCAGGAAGGGCTGCCTGTCCCTGAGCAGTAACCCCGGGCAGCGGCCACAGGACAAGTGGGTCACAACGGCCACCCCGGCCCCGCACCACCGTCCCGTCCTGTCCCACCCCAGTGTTGCCGTCCCGTCGCACCTCCACAGTGCAGGTCCTGGCTCCGGCGGGCGCAGGCTGCAGGCAGCAGTGCAGCCAGGGCCATGGCTAGGCCAAGCGCAGGCGGGATGCAGCCCCTCATCCTCATGGCTCCGCTGCAGGGCGACCTGCAGGCACAGGCGGCTCCAGCGCTGGCGTCCCCCGTGTCCCCTCCCAGCTCCATCCTCAGTGGGGCCCCGTCCAGCCCCCCCAGGACCCTCATCCCCTACAGAGCTCCGCTGTCTATAGGGCTTTGTCCACAGCGTCCCCTCAGGCTCCCTCTGAGCTCTCTGCCCCGGACACCACAGGGACCCCTCCCCTATGAGGCTGAGTCCAGTGGCCCCTATAGAGCCCCCTCCCCTGTAGAGTTGAGCCCAGAGCCCCTGTAGAGACCCCTCCCCTTTAAGGTTGAGCCCTGACACCCCTATAGAGCCCCCTCCCCTGTAGGGTCGACCCCAGAGCCCCTATAGAGCCTCTCCCCTCCAGGGTCGAGCCCAGAGCCCCTATAGAGCCCTCTCCCCTCCAGGGTCGAGCCCAGAGCCC